ACTACATGCCAGCCAAATAGCAGCAATGGACACTGTGGATGTGATGGTGAGGAATTTATCCTTGGTGCCCAGCCACATAGGGCTTTGGTGATACCCACATCTTTTTGCTGCTGAAATAGTCAAACTGTTAACCTTTTCAGACCTAGTAGTTTGAATGGCTGATTGTGGACATTTTCCTGGGAAAGAAAAGAAGCAAGATGGGAAAATATGTCACACTTTCCTCTAATCTCTAACCTTATCAGGGTTTCCATCGCAGTCCTAATTTTACAAATAGCAATGGCCACCATTTAGTAAATTACTATGCCCCAACCTCAGGGCTGAGTCCTTAACTTTCATGTCCTCATTTCATCTTCAGAACAACCCTGTGCATTGTACCTCTTCACGGGGTGTGTAAAAGCAGAATTAAGAGGGGCTAAGTAGGGCCTCCCCTGGTGGTGCAGTGGTGAGCACTGGGCTGCAAGGCTGCCCACGGCTTCTGCAGCGCCGGTTCAATCCCCGGCAGTTCAATCCCCGGCGGTTCAATCCCCAGCCGCCGGCCGCTGGCAAGGGTCCCACATGGTGCGCAGACCTTTCCTGCCACACCCGCTGCTCCCCTCAGCAGTGTACTTCGTCAGTCTGCCTGTTCTGCTCCCCGCTCTGGCTCTGGTGAATTCTCTCACCCTCCCGTGCTTCTTACTGTACCCAGTGCTTGTGTAAATGAATAAATAAATCTTTAAAAAAAAAAGAAAATTAAAAAAAAAGAGGGGCTAAGTAGCCTGCCCAAGACTGTCCATTCCAAGATTCACTCAGGACTGCACACTGTGAGAGCAGTGACCATGACTGATGTACCTCATGGATGCTTGGGGATATTCTTAAGCTGTGTCCTTCCAAAAAAGGACAGTAGGCCCATTTAATGTAATAGCTTCTCATTTTTGAGTGAAGAAGGGGGTGGGTAAGACAGCCCTGATTTTTCCCTTTCATTCTCACTCACATGTTTCTGGCTTTCTGTACAGTGAGGGCACACGCAGCTCTGGAAGCAGATTGGGAAACATGTTGAATGGGTCCCCTCCAGTTAAAGATGACAACATCAACCCTCATGTGTCATTTTGAACTGATGTGTGTGCTCTAGGGATGAAGCTATTTGTATTTGGAAGAAATCATTCAACTGAAAGTGATGGGAGCCGCTCCATCAGTGCTGCTCGGGGCAGTTGCATATTTTAGGGACACTGTAGGCAAAGAAGGGACGAGAACAACCCAAAGTGTGGGTAGTTTGGAGCCTTATGTCATTCTGCTTCGGAGCAAGTTGACTATTAAAAATGTCTTCTAGCCAATGTCAAAGAAGTTGAAAATGTAAGAAGTACTTCTGCTCAGAAGACCTTTTTCTAAGTCCCATTAAAAGAATAAAAAGGGATTCTAATGATGGATTTCCCTAATATTCAAAAAAATCCAAAGATCTTTGCTGTATTTACTTACTTGAAGTTTAATTAAGTGGCTTTATCTCAGCAACATATCAAGGAGACCAAGGAGTACGTGGGTGGGGGTCTTTTTTTTAAGGGTGAGATGAGCTCAGAGGGGGTCAGTGTAGCAAGCTGTAGGATTTGGAGATTTTAAAATTATGGCTGTGGTTAAGCACCTATGTTTTTTTTCTCCACCTACTCTATGCACTCTCTTCCTAAGTATTTATTATATCTTGTTCTGGGTCATGGTTTTATTTCCCTTTCCTTGTTAATAGCAATTAAGAAACCTCATTGTTCTTTCTCATGGCCTCTCAATATTCAATTTCTTTCCTGTGTTCTTTGGATTACCTTCTCGTTATGATAATACTGTGTGTGCTGCCACCCTCCTCCCACTACACACACACACAAACACACACACACACACAGAGGTTAATGAAGTGTTGATCTGAGTGTTGAACTGGTGTTATACACTACAATGTATTTGTTTAGTAAGTAGAGGAAACTATTAGGTTAAACAACTAAACTTAAGCATCATTTATACTTTAAGTGTGGTCGAATTAGAAAGCAGTTTATAAAATATAGTCTCTGGTATGTGTAGGTAATTATTTTTCTAATTTAATTTTGTGTTCTAATATATTCAGAGTTTTAAAAATATCAAATGATTGGGCCTCCCTGGTGGTGCAAGAGGTTAAGTCTTAGCACAGTGAAGATAGCAGCAGCCACTGCAGCACAAGTCAATGCCCAGATAGGGAGGTGACCCACATGGCACAGCAGACCTCTCCTGTCTTGCCCGCTGCTCCCCTCAGCATTGTGTTTCAGTCAATCTACCTGTTCTGTTCCCCACTCTGTCTCTGGTGAATCCTCTCACCCCCTGCATCTCTGGCCTGTACCCCAGTTCTTGTACATAAATAAATCTTTTTAATACATAAATAAATGCATAATACATAAATAAATTTAATACATACATAAATAAATCTTTTTTAAAAATTGAATGGTTATAAACACTTATGATTGAAAAGTCTTAAGCCCATTTTTCTTCCTGACCCCCTCTACCACTGCTGCCTACAGTTTCTTTTGAATCTTTATCCTAAGATAAATAAATGAGCATATATAAGTCTTGTACAAAGGTCAGTAGAGTAAACACTACTAAATACATACTGATTTGCACTAGTGTATCAAAAGCTTCCATGCTTGGGAGTTGGGAACTGCAGCGAATGCCAATGTGCAGCTATGCCCCAGTTCATTTAACTAACCCCTGATGGATGAACTTTTTAGTTTCCAGTCTTTTGCCATAAAAACAATTCTACATTGATGTATTTACTCTGGCACAGATCATCTCATCCATATTCAGATATAAATGTCTGAAGAATTTCCCAGAAGTGGGATTTCTAGGTCAAAAGGAAATGCATTTGTAATTTTGAGGCATAGTGCTAACTTGTCCTTCACATGGTCTGCATCATTTTTCACTTCTATCAAAAATATATAAGAATGTTCCTTTTCCCCACACTTAGACCAACAGATTGTTTTCAAACTTGCAGAATACAAGAATATAAAAAATGTTATCTTAGTGTAGTTTACTTTTCATTTTTCTCCATTTGAATCAGGCTATGTTTTTTTTTTTTCCTGTTATTTAATGGTATTTGTATTTCTTTTACTGTAAATCCTCTTTTCATCTCCTTTGATCATTTTTGTACTCAATTTTTTTTTTCCTAGCTGTCATCTGTGATGTGTTACAACTATATCTTCCTACTTAGTCATTCTTTTTTTGGTCTATTTCATAAGATTTAATTTCCTTTCATTTCCCCTCTACTCTTTTTTGAGAAGAATCTAAAGTACAGGGCACCCCCTGGCTTTGCATGACACCATGGAACTGTAATGCAAAACAATCTTCTTCAGCGAGGAAAATCACAAGTGTTGCATGGTTTTTAAAAATGTTTGTCAAAATGTTAACAGCTCTCTTACTGTCAGTGATAAGTGTATACAGACATGACAACATAAGAAAAGGAATTTGTATTTAATACAGTGTAACAGTGTCACATTAGAAACTCAGGAATTCAAGTATTTATTTCTTCAATTACAATATTATCAACCGCAGCTTGAATGGTACTTGCTACCTTCCCACTGTCCACAGCACCAGGCCCAGCAGGCATCTTCTATGCCCTTGTGAATTGTTATTTTCTTCTTTTGTAAGTCTGGATCAGCCGCCAGCATTTTAGTCTTTGTTTTGCAATGTCCTGAAATGCCTCCAGGAGTGCTTTAATACGATGTATTTTGCCAGCTTCACTTCATCTCTTTGTCACAGCCACTTTCCTCATTTAGGTCCGTGGGTTCACCTTTACTCTTTGCTTCTCAACCTGGGGCAGTGCCAGCCTTCCTGGAGCTAGCTATTGCTTCTGTAAATCCACTTCCCTGCTCCCAGTGTTGGTACTTTTAGTTATTTTTTGCACTTTTGTCTTTTTTTTTTTGACCTGCTACCTCTTTCAGTTACTCATTTTATAAAATGTCTCTGGGAGACCAGGCAATGGTACAGCTGTGAGCTCTGCTGCCTGGACTTGAACTGAAGAACAAATGCGCAAGCACCAATCACTGGTGGACTTTGAACAAAGGGACATGGCTTATCCCTGATTATGATGAACGTCAATTATTTACCCAGAAATTTCCACACTGAAGCGCTAAAATTTATACTTTGTGCCGTAACTCCCAGCTGCTGTGGACACTGGAATTTAAACCCTGTTGTTGGAGGACTAGTATTATTAATTAAATTGTCATAACTTAGAATTGTGAATTACATAAACTTGCAAAGCAGGAACTACCAGTACAGAAAAAGTACAAAGAATATGATAACAAAGAGCTACAAACTCATTGACTATTATTTATGCTTGAAGTGTTTTGATAAAGGACATTGGTCATTACAAATAAGATTGAAGAGCTCCTTTGCCCCCCCCCACATCCCATTTCCTTTCATAACTTCACAACTCACATGTCACAAATTAGAGAATATTCTTTCTCCTCCCCACCACTTTCCTGTCTACATGTGTAAAGATCTCAGAGAGAAATATGCAGTATTTGAGCATGTACTTTGCAATTTGCACCATGGAGGAAAGTATCTAGATGATCAGGGATAGTATCAGGATGATCAACCAGGCATTTATTCAAAAAACACAAAACCCTGCATCTCAGTGTGATTGCTCATAAGCATTAGCTAGACATCCAACAGTGTGGTATCTTCAAGTACCATAAGTCAGAGTGTACAATGAACATCTTTTTTTCCAGGTAGTCAACTTATTAAAAAGAATATCTCTTTGTTTCCTAGGATGTGGTGTGGTGACATATCTGAAGGGTATGATCCGGTACCTCTGAATCACATACAGTGTTATAAACCATGTCACCTCAATAAAATTAAAGCAAAAACAACAAGTTGAGCATACCAGAAACAAATTCTGGAACTTTATCCACATCTCCCCATGGAAATGGCCAAAGCCTAGTGATATGCGTGTCTTTTGCCTTATTTCTTTAACTTTTTTTCTAATTCATTTAACAACCAATTTCCTGTTTGTCTTCCAGATTTATTCAGGAGATTGAGCATGCCCTGGGGCTTGGTCCAGCCAAACAGTGTCCTCTTCGGGAGTTTCTCACTGAGTACATCAAGACCATCTTCCTCAGTCAGGTCTTGGCAGAGATCAACAAGGAGATTGAGGGTGTCACTAAAACATCCGACCCCTTGAAGATTCTTGCTAATGCAGATACCATGAAGGTTCTGGGGGTGCAGCGACCTCTCCTGCAGGTAACAATCTACTTTGAATTTAGTTTTTATCAGTAATTTTCATTGACTTGGAACGAGTCACAAATTAAAAGAAAAAGAATTACCATCTGTTTCCATAGTCATCAGGGGCAAAACAACGGGAAATAAATCAAACAGGCACTAGGGAAATTTAGGACTAATGTAGAGATAATGGAAATTCCTGACGATCTTTAAGGAAAAAAAAAAGTTAGCTGTGAGTATGGGAGACTGTGAGTCTCATTAACATTCAGGCGACTCCTCATTTTTTGCCTGGAACTTGTCCTTGAAAAGAATTCTTTTTCAGATGGTGAAGGCATCCTGGAGTATGCAGGAAGGCAGTTACCCTGCCTAACCTCAAGTACCAGGCCCTCTGTGCCATGGAGTTATTCAGCATAAATAACTTGGCTAGCTCACAGGGATTTGAACCTATTTAGTAAACTGAAGTCAGATCATTTAATTCAAGTACTGGTCTTGTCAATATTTTGACAAGATTTTACTTGGACTATATAAAGAGCTTGTTGCTGGACAGAAATAATTTGTCAGTAGATGTTTGAATTAGGCTTGAGGTATTTATTTCATTTTTTTTTTTTTTAGAATGTGATTTGGAGGTAAATATAAAACTCACAGATATTTGAGATGAGTTTAAAACATGGGTATACATGAACTATGACTACTTGGTAATGGAATCTTACGGTTTTTCTTCATTAAAAGAATGATGGAACAATTGTATGTTTTTACATAAATTACACAGTATGAGCATATCTCAAAATGTGCAAGACTTGAGCTCTAAAGAAAAGTTGTATAAATGGAAGGAAGTTATAGTTGCCCTATAACTTCTGCCTTGATATATGTCTTCCTTGATTTTTTCTTCTGTGTGTATTAGAATTAATAGAAATTCTGAAACTTTCATAGCAAATATCCTTGTTATGAGCATTCTTTTTATATGAGCAAAGTCTTCTACAGTATTAAGAAAATATAATAGGGGCCTCCCTGGTGGCGCAAGGGCTTAAGCCACAACCTATGAAACGGTCCACAGCCACTGCAACACAAGTTCCATCCCCAGCCAGGGAGCAACCCACATGGTGAGGCAGACCTCTCCTGCCTCGCCCGCTGCTCCCCTCAGCAGTGTATTTCAGTCAGTGTGCCTGTTCTGTTCCCCACTCTGTCTCTGGTGAATCCTCTCACCCCCCTGCATCTCTCGCCTGTATCCCAGCTTTTGTATGCATAAATAAATAAATCTTAAAAAAAAAAAAAAGAAAATGTAATAGGAGCATCTGCATCTCCCAGAACTCGAGTAACAGCATCACACTTAGGAAAGCATTCACTTAGATTGTCTGAGGTGGTGGTTGCTATGTTCCTGGTGAGGGATTTGTTCTGAGTGTGGGAAGCAGAGAAGAGAGAAAGGCAGAGGTATGTGTTCATTTGTCCCTCTGATGGGTTCTTCCTCCACTGGCTCCTTGTTGGCTGGATTCTTCTCTCTGAGTCTCAATTTCAATGTCACCTCCATGGGGAAGCTTTTCCTAACTGCTCTACCTAAGACCCCCTCTGGCTATTCTCCATTCTCCCCATCTCTCTCACACCCCCAGTCCATTCTCAACACTGAAGGGAAACTCTTTGAACAATATTCCAAAACTCCCTTGCACAGTGACTTATGTTCATATTCTACCAATACATAGAACTAGCAGGAGACTGGATGGTGGAGAGGAGTGCGAAGTTAGTGTGTCTCTGACTTCTTTCCTCTCCACTTTAGACCTGAGAGTGCATCCCCCCATAAGAGGAGGTCCTGCCAGGGCCACTTCCTCCAGAGCGCCAGCTCTTACTGGACACCATTTCCTCTCCTTGCCCTTTGATTACAGCTTCCTGCTGCATAGTCTCTGAGTGCCTCCACATGCCTAGTTGTATCTTTTAGTGCTGCCTGTTCTACCTCTGTAAGTCATCTCTTCATTAGTGTCTCTTCATTTGAACCATTTGAATAGAATTCTCTTGTGTCAGGAACCTGAATAGGTATCCCCAGTTAGTCATGTGAACACTTTTTTCCCCTCTTCTTAACACAACTTTAAATCTTATTTAAATCTATTTATTTTCTAATTTGTTTTATTTTCTGTATTTTCTCCCTAGAATGTAAGTTCCAAAAGAATAGTATAAGACTAGGCATCAGGAAGGTGCTCAGTAAATAATTTATTGAATGAGTGCATACATGCATGAATAGGTGGGCAGCAAGGTAGATGGATGGACGGAAGGTGGGTAGGTGGATGGATGGATGGCAGGGTGGGTGGATGGGTGGGTGGATGGATGGATGGATGGATGGATGGATGGATGGATGCATGGATGGATGGAAGGTGGGTGGCAGGGAGGGTGGGTGGGTAGATGGATGGATGGATGGATGGATGGATGGGCACAGTGAATAAACTTTGAAAGTCATAGCTAACTGTAGAATCAGGGTGGAAACTTGAGGGATAAATAATTACAGAAACTTGTTTACATTTATCTTTTGTCTGACCATATCATTAGCTTTGTATTTATGTCCCTGGTGTGTCAAACTATATGCTTTACAGAGCTACTTTGACGTGCTTAGAGTACTGAATTTAAAGGAAAACAAAAGGCAACTATGTACTACAGGAATGAATCCGAGAGCCAAGATGCTGGCTTATTAAATGATAATTTTCAGCTTGAGTAGCAAAGACACATTAATACTCATAACTAGTTGACTACAATCTGGGCCGTGTCAAGGCTTTGCGCTGCCAGTGAGCTGACGTCTCTGGACATCCAAGCCACGTGCTTCTCTGATCACTCCCAGCTTCATCACCAGTCATTTGTACACATTCTGTGCCTCTTGTTCTTTAAATCAATTACTCTATTCCATGGCTAGATAAGAACTCCAGCTTTACCTGTTTTCTCTTTGACCTTGTCAAGATAGGATCATCTATGTGAGTAAATCTTAACACCATAAGCCATTCAAGCAGTTAATCTCTAAATTTGTTTTCAGAGCCAAGGCTCCTGCTTTCTTATTTGATGGTTTTGTTGCCCTCTCTCTCTTCATAAAAATTTTATTTTCTGAGAATGCAAATTAGCTAGACAATATCCATGCATTTGTTTAATATCCTCAGAGCTACAAGATTAAAAAAGCAAATGAGGAGATATTTATTTTCCTTTCCCATCTTAAGAAGTTCTCTTGCTTAACAATGCTTGTAAATTGTTTTCTGATGTGATTTCCCATGTCCATGTTTCAGTGTGTCTTAAACATGTTTTGGTGTCATCTTGATATTTTTATTCCCAGCTCACAGCAGTGACCTATCTAAAAAAAAGGCAAGAAATAATTCTCAGAAATTTTAGCAGAGATTCCAGAACAACTATTGAGAAGGGAACTTGGAGAAATCTATGTGTGAAAGATACAGATGGGCTAAGCATCCAGTTACATAAAGCAGGCAAGTCTTCCCTCTGGGAGACTGTTGTTGGGTGCACAGAGCAGAAAAAAGGACCATGCCTTTCCCCTGAGGTGGCCCCCAATGTCAGGAAACATTAGCCCACTGGCTTCTCCAGGGAGTAGGGAGCACAGCTGTCTCAGGGATGCTTTCATTCTCTGATGAACACACAGGAAACCCCGGACTCTGTCTTTACCTCTCTAAAATGGCATCTCAGCAGCACAGACAGTTGGTTGAGGGGCCTTTCCTTGGGCAATACTAGCCTTTTGCATTGGTAACTTCACATTCAGAATTCATAGGCATAGAATTCATGGGAGGGAAGGAAAGAATAAATTGTAGGCACAGTTTTATGTGTGAATCACCTTTACAGGTGTTGGCCCCAAGAATACAGCACCACAGTTCTAGTAGTAATAGAAGTAGTACTAATACGAATGATAACTGTCATACTAGTGGACAGCAGTGATGATAGCGGCTAACACTTCAATAGCATTTTCTGAAATTCAGACACTATTCAGAATGTTTTAAAGGCATTGACTTGTCAGTGTTCTATATCTAAGCAATAGCTTTGTAAGGGTGTTATTGGTATTATGGGGAGAAACTCTGATATTAAATAACTTGCATGTAGTCACATAACTAGCAAGTACTAGAGTGCTAATTCAGACACCAGCAGCCTAATCCTGGAGTCCTTCTCCAAACCAGTTCTACTCAAAGTGTAACCTGAGGTGTTTGTTACCAGTCAGCTATGAGATGTAGAAAATTAGAGTAAGCATTTAGACTCTTGCTTTTTTTTTTTTCAAGGCATTAGACTATGGACTCTAATAACACAAAACAGAAACTTGTGTTTTCTATATCATTGTGGGTTTTTTCATTTCTTTTTTCTAATAATTTATTGTGTTTGATAAAGTATCAAACTGCAACAGATTGGTGACCTGGATTCTTACCATAGCAGAAGACTGTGCTAAACCCTTACCCAGCCCTGTAGTGCCTCACAGAGAAGTAGAATTGTAACCCTGACCATCCTCCTTGTCTCTGTGTGCAAGGCACTTTCCAGCACCTGGAAAAGCTGGGGTATTATTGCAGGTGCCTCTCTCCTAAATCCCCTAGAACAGTGTCTACAATAGAAAAGATATTCAACATTTCAATGGGTGACTGGGTGAGTGAGTACAAATGAGCACATCAGTGGCAGTCCTTGGTGTAAAGACTTGTGTGTGCATGTCTCCCCCATGGTATCAGGTACAAGATCTTGAATTTGAGGTTCATGACAATGAACTTCACAGTTTGGATGCTTCGAATGCTACCCATATAGAGGTAGAATTGAATATACTTCATGGTTTTACCATCTGAGATTCTTCCATTGGCATTACTTTTTCTGCAAAATGGCAACTCCCCAGTGCTGATTTAAATGAAGGAAATCTCTCAAGAAAAATACCTCATTTCTCCCAAACCAGATCTTCTGCCATTCTGGTCACAGAGCTATTAAAACAATCACTGGAAGTGGTACCCCTGTCTATAGGATGCTACAAATTGTTCATTCCTCAGACATGAGGAAGCATTGACTCAGCACCCTAGTTTATCATAGAT